AAAGGCTAACAAGACAACTAGATGAAGCGCAGCCAAAGGAACAAGCAGGTTTCAGAGGCCAGTACACCACTACTGATCATATGCACACTGTCAACCAGCTCAAAGAGAAATGTCTCGAGTATAACATTCCACTATGTGTAGCATTCGTTGATTATGAAAAAGCCTTCGACTCAGTAGAAACCCAGTATATACTGGCATCCCTGCAAGATCTAGGGATCGAAGATGGATACGTAGACGTCCTCAGAGACATATACACCGATAGCTCTGTAACAGTCAAACTACACAAGACCACCAATAAGATCAGGATCAAGAAAGGTGTACGCCAAGGAGATACAATCTCTCCTAAACTGTTCACAGCAGCATTGGAACGTACATTCAGGGATCTAGACTGGCAGGACAAGGTCATAAACATAGACGGTACCAGGCTCAATCACCTTAGGTTTGCAGACGACATCATAATAGTAGCAGATGATGCAAAAGACCTCGAAGAAATGCTGCAGGTGTTAGCAGATGAAAGCGCAAAAAGTGGGCTAAAGATGAACACCAGCAAGACAAAGGTGATGTTTGGACCACTAACCACCCCTTGCACAGTGAAGTTCAACACCAAAGAGATAGAAGCAGTAGAAGAGTATATATACCTTGGGCAACGGTTCAGCCTTAGTGATCGAACACTGGAGAAAGAAATCCAACGAAGGATAAAAGCAGGATGGGCAGCACATGGGAAACACAATGACATCTTCAAGAGCAACCTTCCTACCTGCCTGAAAAAGAAAGTGTTCAATGCTTGTGTGCTGCCGGCAATCACCTATGGTTCAGAGACCTGGGCACTTAATGCCTCCATGGAACACAAGCTAAAAGTAGCTCAGAGAAAGATGGAAAGAATTATGTTAAACATCAATCCAAGAGAGCGGAAAACGAATGTATGGTTACGTGAACAGACCAAAGTTNCATACACGGTGCTAGGCTCAATCACCTTAGGTTTGCAGACGACATCATAATAGTAGCAGATGATGCAAAAGACCTCGAAGAAATGCTACAGGCGTTAGCAGATGAAAGCGCAAAAAGTGGGCTAAAGATGAACACCAGCAAGACAAAGGTTATGTTTGGACCACTAACCACCCCTTGCACAGTGAAGGTCAAAACCAAAGAGATAGAAGCAGTAGAAGAGTATATATACCTTGGGCAACGGTTCAGCCTTAGTGATCGAACACTGGAGAAAGAAATCCAATGAAGGATAAAAGCAGGATGGGCAGCATATGGGAAACACAATGACATCTTCAAGAGCAACCTTCCTACCTGCCTGAAAAAGAAAGTGTTCAATGCTTGTGTGCTGCCGGCAATCACCTATGGTTCAGAGACCTGGGCACTGAATGCCTCCATGGAACACAAGCTACAAGTAGCTCAGAGAAAGATGGAAAGAATTATGTTGAACATCAATCCAAGAGAGCGGGAAACGAATGACGATTGTATGGTTACGTGAACAGACCAAAATTAAGGACGTACTGCTCACAGTTAAAGAAATGAAATGGAGGTGGGCAGGACATGTCAAAAGAATGAAGGACAATAGGTGGACAATCAGGCTTACAGAATGGACCCCAAGGTATGGACAAAGAAAAAGAGGAAGGCCGGTCAAACGATGGAGGGATGAATTAGATGACTACTGGAAGTCTTGGAAGAAGAAACCTTGGCCAAACTGGAAATCTGAGGCTCAGGATAGGAAACAATGGAAAAAGCATGCTGAGGCCTTTGTCCAACAGTGGAACACTATAGGCTCTAAATGATGATGATGATGAAGTACAAGTATTCTATTCATGAAACCGAATAAAATATGGTCCATGTAACTTGTGACAAAGAAGTGCTGTCTTTTCTTCTTAAAATGGACCATATGCTCGATTCTCAGGGGAAAACCGGTATTGGCCAAGGGATGAGCAAGATCAGCAATCTTACAGCAGATACTTCACTTTTCTTTAATTTTAAGACAAATCTTTTTAGTTCAAAAGACATCACAGCCAGTTATCTAAAATACTATCAAACAAATACACATATCATATCCACTGTCACTTTGATCAGACAAAAAGTTCTTTAAAAAATATTCAATTTGTATTTCATTCTTAATATCATTTTCTATTCCTGTTACATTTAAAAATTGGTATGTTAAAAAAACATCGATCAAAGTAAATAATACACTAAAAAAGCAATTAGTTAATGTAGGTCTTTATATTCTGTGACAGAACCAGTATGTAAATGTACATTTGGTGACTAAATGTGAGTGGTTTACCTCTTGAAATAATCTACACATTTCACAGACTAGACATCTCTCTGATTCGTTGATCATTTGGCAGTTGTGTTTGTCTGACAAAAAATAGTCCCTTAGTAAAGGTGTGTGCGTCAAGGCTTGAACGATGCAATTCATAAAACATGTATTGCCGAGGTTGATTAAGCCACGAAGACCTGTAAATATAAAACATGCAGCAACTGTCAAATTTAACCCATACCTGAAAGTAATTTTTTATCTTTGTATACATATAGGCAGTTATGTAAAGGAGTAATGGCCGAATTAATAAATTACTAAAACTTAATTGTAACTAAGCATAATGGTAATGCGAAGGGGAAAAAGGTAGAAATTATAATAAACTTGATTGTTATAGCCTCTGACTCAGACTTCATATTAAGTTTTACTGAATGTGACAGAAAACACCTTACCGATGGTAGAATTGTCTGAGATCTTTCTTCTTTTGGGATTTTGGTGAAGTAGCTGCAATTCAACATCAGTTGGCACCCAGCACCCATCTAAACCTGAAACAAATTGTCAATTTCAACTATGACATATCTTTCACCTCTTATCTCTGTTTCATGTTTAGTGAATTTTCAAAATTATGCCCATGCTACTTGTGTTAAACCAAGTTAAATCATACACTTTGAAGTTACCTGCCATCTTTTCTGAAAAAAAATAATGGGTTAATGAATTGTTTTTTTTTTTTTTCATTTAATACAAATTTTATCTATATCCTAAGGTTTCTACAGCTGCCTTCTTCCCTATGTGAAGCACCTACCAATACTGTCCTCAAATGATTTTCCATTCTCTCCTGCTATCCCTTCCAACTCCCCATCATATATATAGTCTCCACAGGCAAAGCAGTACACAGCACCAAAGACAAGATCCACAGCTGAAACAAATGGTTATTTTTATGTATAAGAGTTGGATTACAGAACAAATAAGAGAAAATTGAAGCCACTCATTTCTTGCCAAAACACATTTCACAGTCAGTATTCCTGAGAGAGAGAGAGAGAGAGAGAGAGAGAGAGAGAGGGAGAGAGGGGGAGAGGTGGCTTGGAGGCTGGGGAACATCCTTTACATCACTTCCATCTTATCAGTAACTGAAATAAAATGTAAGCCAATTACCCACCAGTACTCCAAAAGTATAAGAAATGCAGATCCAATGATTTGCATCTTTTTCGTAAAATCACATTAGAAAATTTAAAAAATCACATATTTGTTCAAATTGCTTTAATTACTACTGTTACGTTACTTACCTAGAGTATGATTTTTGCTAGCTGCATGTTCTTGTATATGATTAGCACCATAGCAACCAAAATAAACACAGTGGAGGCAGGAGTGGAGGCGAACTGTTGTTGTTTTACATGTATGACAAACACATGATCTTGCCTGAAAAAGATAAAGTAGAGGTTGATATGGAAGTAGATAAAAGTATGACTCTACATGGCCATATCAAATCTGACAACACAATAGAAAACAAGAATTGTATCAGGACTTGTGTGGTTAGTTATATCATATATTGTATAACAGTGTCACCTGATTGTCATTTATGTCAAGATGAACATGCACATGAATCAACATTCGAGGGTACTTTCAGCTCATTTGTCACAACATCATATATATGTGTGTGTGTGGTAAACGAGTTTAATCTATCATTATTTGCTAGTTGACAGGCCCACAAACAAGAACTGTACTGAAAATATTATTTAACAACATATATTTCATTACAGTATATGTTCAATCACATCTTGTTTTCCATCATTTTCGCAAGCACTACAAGATAATAGTATGTTGAAAGTAAAAATAAATGAACATAGAAATCACAGTCTTTGCGAGATTGGTTTGACATATGATAAATTTCATGTCATCGTTATGCTTAAAGTCAAGATCAAAGTAATAATGCATTCAGCAGAAAGTAATCATATCACACAAAACAGCTTGGAAACTGTAGGTGTGTTTTAGTCTCCGTAGGGTGGTAACCGGCATCGCAACTCAAATAATGCATTTCCGCTGCAGCAAAGCATTGCATCTGTTATCATAGTACGTTGCACCAGTGATATTACACACTTACATCTCATTTGTGATGCATGACAAACTTGAAAAGTGTTCGAGTAACCCTGTCAATATTTTACAATAATTATTTTATTTTAAAACAACAGTAACATCGCTGTAGGGTTTCATTGAACAACGCGTGAAAGTACTTGTGCTCTTTCAGTATCCTTTATAAATCTCACTGTATCCGACCCTATCACTTTTAGTTCTTTTGCTATGGAACATCTATCAGTAAAACTGTCATTTACGTGATTCGTTTTTATGCACGAAAAGTCGGCACTGTTAAAAATAAGTTGCATTTCGCAGGTCGTTTACCTTCCTTAAGCGTGCTTCCGTTGATAAAGCCGCTATAAAATATTTGTGAATTATGCGATATGACTGTGTTCCATGAGCTGCCTTGAAGGCCTGCAGGTGCTGGCAGCCAGAGAAACTCATTCTTTTTTTCGATTGCTCCCGGCTTTTCGAAAATCCATTGTATTTCTAAGCTGAACTATGCGACACCTTCCCGAAAGAAATCAACAAAGGATATATCTGCGCAGTGATCACTTTGCGCAGAATACTTCTTCCGCTTCCTGTCATTTTCACACGTGCGGCACATAAACAAGGCGGATTATTTGTAAATATTTAACATGCAGGTTTGTTGGCAGCTAAGGTGGAGAGTTATGCTAAATATTTGCTATTTCATGAATCTGTTTTGACTGAGTATCGGTATTGTCACTGATATGCATCCCACCCACAACCCTGGTTTCGGTGACTAATAATAATTATCAGCTATGGCAAAATAAATTTAAAGCCTACCGGTATATATACACAGTACATGTACCTCTATGTCAAATGTAACACTATTATATTGAATGTTGTATTAGTACACGTATATCTATATCGAATTCTGTACTATTATATCCATGCTGAGCTGAATTAGTAATTCTGTGTAGAAGTTCTATGTTGAATGTTCAATTTGTATCTCTATGTTGAAAATATTCAACTTGTGAGATTGAATAAACTTGAACTTGAACATAGCTGAGGCTTCCTGTAAATGGTTTGACCGTGACTTAATGTGCAACAAGCCGGCCTGGCTGGCCAGTAGAAAAAACCCAGGTGTCAATAAATAACCTGCAACCCTATGGGAAGTGGTAGATGGGATTTTGCCAATATTTCTACTTCTGTAAACTCCACATCTGATCTGGTCGTCTGCCTCTGATCCCAAGGGAAGTGATGCATGCACAATTCATCTACAGTATATTACAGAGGGCTCTTGGATAAACAATCATATTTTGTAACATGCCAAAAATGGCATTTGTTCTGTAGTGTCCATTATTTCAGTGTTCAAGAATTTCCTACTTGTACATGTACATGTAACCCACTTGTATGGTACTTTTTCTGGGGTGCATGGTCAAAGTCTGAAGTTTCAATAGTCAGAGGTTCATTTGTCCAAATATTCACTGTTAAACCTTTGGACCAACAAACCCTTTTATTAAAAAACTGATAAAATGATACAATTTTTTGGACCAATGACCCTAAGACTAATAAACCTTCCAACTATTGAGAGAGGTTTCTTCAAAAATTGTATATGTTTAAATATGGTATATGTTTAAATTAGGTTTTGTTGTAACAAAACAAACATAAAAAGCCTGTATTAATGAAAGTCTAATATTTAACTTATTTTCCTAGAAATTATTTGGTCATGTGATAAACATTGAAAAATAAAGATTTATAGGGCAAGGGAATACTGCAGAAGCACCAGATACCCTGGTATTTTTGTGCCTCCCAGCGAGAAAGGCTATTGTGCATGTCGCTTTTTTTAAACTAAAAGTTAAAAATTATCTTAACTGCTCTGAATTATTTTAACAGTTGAGTCTGAAAGCTGCCATGATGTCATACTCCATATACATTCCCATTGCTCTGATGGCGGTCTGGGTATCATACAGACTATTCAAGAAACGTCATTGTGATCTGAGGGACAAGGTGGTTCTCATCACTGGTGCTAGTTCAGGGCTAGGAGAAGGTGAGATGGTGTAAGCATTGAAGTGGTGGGATAATGGTCAAGTTGTACTGTTTTAGTGTGTTTTATAGTGATTGTGGTTCAGCATTGTAGTTAAATGAGACAGTTTACAGTGGTTGTGAAATAGAAAAAAATGTATATGCTTATAAATACATGTGTATAGAGTTTAACATTTAGAAAACCTATTTAATATCAGGTAAGATCACTGTATGGACAAAAATGCAACTGTTGAATGTTTATATTTGGGTGACATTTGAATTTCAGCTTGTGCTCATGCCTTTTACAAGGCAGGGTCCAGGGTCATACTGTGTGCAAGAAGGGAAGCTGAATTGAAGAGGGTGAAACAGGACTTGCAAAACCTGAAGCTTGTAAGTATATAAGCACATATCTATATTCACCTACGCCCGTCTTGTTTTTTCTGCACCTCTTTTCCCAATATGTGGACATGGTTGCTGTTTTCCTGCCTTCCAATATCCACCCATGATTGGTCTTTATGTGGGACAATTCTGTACAATGTACAATAATATCAGTTACAAGCTCTGTAGTCTTGTGTCTTGTTAAAATGCATGGTTCTTTGCAGGTCTTTCATATTTGTTTGAAGGAACAGAAATCTCTCAAACTGCATTTTAGGATAATAGGTTATGATGTATACTATTGTGACATCATTTCAGGCCATCGAGACAAAAGAACCATCGATACTTACTTTGGACCTCTCTGACTTGGATTCAGTCCCACAGAGAGCAGCCCAAGCATTGAAAATACATGGACATATTGATATTTTAGTGAATAATGGAGGAATAAGCTATCGTGGAGAAGCTATGGAGACTGAACTGGGTATCCACATGTCAGTAATGACTGTCAACTACTTTGGACAGATTGCTTTGACACAAGGTAGAGAATGAACAACTTAACTGTAGTAAGCTGTTATATCAAATGTAGTGTCTGACTCACAATATTTTGAAAGTGATATTATTATATCCAGCAAAGAACTTAATCAGTTGTGTTATGTAGAAATTAAACTTCTCAGGTAGAGGCCACTGTAGGCTGTAACGCCTCATTCCCTGATGGTGGTTTCTTGAAACTATCAATGCAGCTATCATAACAAAATCTATATGAAGTCTACTTTAAAAATATGATTGATTGGTTTTGTATTGTTTTCATATATTAAAGTGAGAAATTAAATGTAAAAACTGCCTATTGCATTAAATTTATGTTGTTGAATAGTTTTGCAAGAATTCTGTAAATTTTGATACTGTGTAACAGGTGTGTCTGTTTAAGAGACGGTAATATTAGCTGAAAAGTTGTGTAGCAGCTAGTTGACCATTTGAAATCCTCTTAAAATCTTTGCCTTTTTTCAAAGCCTTATTACCAAGCATGGTGTCTAGAGACTGTGGTCATATTGTTGCCATTAGCAGTGTTCAAGGAAAAATAGCCATTCCTTACAGGTCTGCGTGTAAGTGGATTCTTCATTTTTTACTTAATTAAGTTCCACATGCAAGTGGAATGATTTGTTGAGTTTCAATTAAGAATTTGATGCTAAAAAGCATCAACAGTCAGTGTTATACACTTGAACCTGTGAGTTTGTCTTGCATTCAGTGGATAGTTGCATGGTAGACTCTTGAAGTAGGAAAAATTGGCACATTTCAGCATAAAAAAAGCAACCAAACCTGCCATGAAAATCACTCTTAAGTGTTTCAAAGGGTGTTATGTAAAAGATTAGATGTGACGGTCACATTGCTTGAGATATGACATCCTCTTTGTTTTCCACAGATGCTGCTTCCAAGCATGCTGCCCAAGCATATTTTGACAGCCTGAGAGCCGAAGTGGCAGACAAGAACATCAAAGTCTCAGTGATTAGTCCTGGGTATATTAAGACTAACCTGTCTCTAAATGCACTACAGGGAGATGGGACAAGATACGGAGGTAACTATGGGGTAAAACCTTGGATCACTACTCTGACATGCTAATTATGAGATGATGATCTTGAACGTTTGTTAGTTTTCAAAATATCTTGCACATATCTAAGGTAGCCGAGTATTTAACAGTTAACTTAAAGGGGAAAAGTTGTTTTAGTATCAGACCATCAAACTTCTTCAAGTCAAGAGAATACCAGAGACCAACTGGACTGTTGCAGCTTATTGCATTCTTGTTCATCTAAAATTTTTTATACTACCTTTTGTAGTGATGGACAAGACCACTGAGACAGGGATGTCGCCGGAGTATGTTGCATCCAAGGTTCTCAAAGCAGTACAGGAGCAGAAAAATGAACTTATTTTAGCGCCATTCACTGTGACTGTAGCTGTTTTTTTAAGGACATTTTGTCCTTCCTTATACTTCAGTTTAATGAAGAAGAGGGCAGCACATCAAAAACAAGACCAGTGTAAACAAAAGTGATGATTACTTATAAAATATTATGCACATTTGCAAGAGTAGATGATTGTGATATTTTTGTCCATAAACTGTCATGTTAATTTTTAATTCTGGTGTGCTCAGAATATATATGAATCTGAACACAATTTTATTTTAATAAGTTAAAATGCCAATCCTAGAGAAGAGAGGGAGGGGTGGTGTATTACAATATTTTCTAAACAGAAACCATCACTGATTTCACTTAACTGTATAAAAGTCTTGTAACTAGAAAAACTTATATCAGCGTATTTATTAATTTTATATAACTTTTCTCACAGACCAGCATTTGTTGGTCTAAATAATTATATTGTTAACCAATACACATTTTGTACAAAACCCTATAGAATAGTTAAAAATGCTAAAAGCAAAAGGCTGTTACAGTAACACAAAAAAATCATGTGTTAAAGCANCTGTATGTTGAATGTTCAGTTTGTATCTCTATGTTGAAAATATTCAACTTGTGAGATTGAATAAACTTGAACTTGAACATAGCTGAGGCTTCCTGTAATAGTCTATAAATGGTTTGACCGTGACTTGACGTGCAACAAGCCGGCCTGGCTGGCCAGTAGAAAGAACCCAGGTGTCAATAAATAACCTGCAACCCGATGGGAAATGGTTAGGTGGGATTCTGCCAATATTTCTGCTTCTGTAAACTCCACATCTGATGACCTGCCTCTGTTCCCAAGGGAAGTGATGCATGCACAATTCATCTACAGTATATTACAGAGGACCCTTGGATAAACAATCATACTTTGTAACATGCCAAAAATTGCATTTGTTCCGTAGTGTCCATTATTTCAGCGTTCAAGAATTTCCTGCTTTTACATGTTAACCCACCTTCACAGTACTTTTTCTGGGGTGAAGTTTTAATATTCATAGCTTCATTTGTCGGAATATTCACTGTTAAACCTGTGGACCAACAAACCCCTTTATTAAAAAGCTGATAAAATGTTACAATTTTTGGACCAATGGCCCTAAGACTTATAAACCTTCCAACTATGGAAAATGTTTCTTCAAAAAATAGAAGTACCAGTTCCTACCTTGGTATATGTATAAATTAGCTTTCATTGTAACAAAAGAAAAAACAGTATTAATGAAAGTCTAATATTCAACATATTTCGGATCCCTAGCAATTATTTGGGAAGGGTAAGGGAATACTGCAGAAGCACCAGATACCCCAGTATTTTTGTGCCTTCCAGTGAGAAAGGCTATTGTGCATGTCACTTTTTTCAAACTAAAAGTTAAAAATTATCTTAACTGCTCTGGATTATTTTGATAGTTGAGTCTGAAAGCTGCTATGATGTCATCCTCGATATACATTCCCATTGCTCTGATGGCTGTCTGGGTATCATACAGACTATTCAGGAAGTGTCATTGCGATCTTAGGGACAAGGTGGTTCTCATCACTGGTGCCAGTTCAGGGCTAGGAGAAGGTGAGATGGTGTGTTGTGGTGGTAGGATAATTGTCAAGTTGTACTGTTTTAGTATGTATTATAGTGATAATGGTTCAGCATTGTAGGTAAATGTGACAGTTTATCTGTGGTGGTTGTGAAATAGGAAAAATCTATATGCTTATAAATACGTGTGTATAGAGTTTAACATTTAGAAAACCTATTTAATATCAGGTAAGATCACTGTATAGACAAAAATGCAACTGTTGAATGTTTATATTTGGGTGACATTTGAATTTCAGCTTGTGCTCATGCCTTTTACAAGGCAGGGTCCAGGGTCATACTGTGTGCAAGAAGGGAAGCTGAATTGAAGAGGGTGAAACAGGACTTGCAAAACCTGAAGCTTGTAAGTATATAAGCACATATCTATATTCACCTATGCCCGTCTTGTTTTTTCTGCACCTCTTTTCCCAATATGTGGACATGCTTGCTGTTTTCCTGCCTTCCAATATCCACTTCCATAATTGAGTTTCAATTAAGAATTTGATGCTAAAAAGCAGCAACAGTCAGTGTTATACACTTGAACCTGTGAGTTTGTCTTGCATTCAGTGGATAGTTGCATGGTAGACTCTTGAAGTAGGAAAATGGACCATGATTGGTCTTAATGTGGGACAATTCTGTACAATGTACAGTAATATCAGTTACAAGCTCTGTAGTCTTGTGTCTTGTTAAAATGCATGGTTCTTTGCAGGTCTTCAGATTTGTTTGAAGGAACAGAAATCTCTCAAACTACATTTTAGGATAATAGGTAATGATGTATAGTATTGTGACAACATTTCAGGCCATCGAGACAAAAGAACCATCGATACTTACTTTGGACCTTTCTGACTTGGATTCAATCCCACAGAGGGCAGACCATGCATTGAAAATACATGGGCAGATTGATATTTTAGTGAATAATGGCGGAATAAGCTATCGCGGAGAAGCTATGGAGACTGAACTAGGTATCCACATGTCAGTAATGACAGTCAACTACTTTGGACAGATTGCTTTGACACAAGGTAGAGAATGAACAACTTAATTGTAGTAAGCTGTTACATCAAATGTAGTGTTTGACTCACAACATTTTGAAAATGATATCATTATATCCAGCAAAGAATTTTATTAGCTGTGTTATGTACAAATTAAACTTCTCAGGTAGAGGCTACTGTTGGCTGTAACGACTCATTCCCTGATGATGGTTTCTTGAAACTATCAATGCAGCTATCATAACAAAATCTATATGAAGTCTACTTAAAAAATATGATTGGTTTTGTATTGTTTTCGTATATTATAGTGAGAAATGAAAATGTTAATACTGCCTATTGCATTAAATTGTATGTTGTTGAATAGTTTTGCAAGAATTCTATAAATTTTGATACTGTGTAACAGGTGTGTCTGTTTAAGAGACAGTAATATTACCTGAAAAGTTGTGTAGCAGCTAGTTGACCATTTGAAATCCTTGGGAAATCTTTGCCTTTTTTCCTAGCCTTATTACCAAGCATGGTGTCTAGAGACTGTGGTCATATTGTTGCCATTAGCAGTGTTCAAGGAAAAATAGCCATTCCTTACAGGTCTGCATGTAAGTGGATTCTTCATTTTTTACTTAATTAAGTTCCACATGCAAGTGGAATGATTTGTTGAGTTTCAATTAAGAATTTGATGCTAAAAAGCATCAACAGTCAGTGTTATACACTTGAACCTGTGAGTTTGTCTTGCAGTCAGTGGAAATTACAGGCAGCCTTATCATTACTTAAAATGAAATAGTTGCATGGGCAGACTCTTGAAGTAGGAAAAATTTGGCACATTTCAGCATAAAAAAAGCAACCAAACCTGCCATGAAAATCACTCTTAAGTGTTTCAAAGGGTGTTATGTAAAAGATTAGATGTGACGGTCACATTGCTTGAGATATGACATCCTCTTTGTTTTCCACAGATGCTGCTTCCAAGCATGCTGCCCAAGCATATTTTGACAGCCTGAGAGCCGAAGTGGCAGACAAGAACATCAAAGTCTCGGTGATAAGTCCTGGGTACATTAAGACTAACCTGTCTCTAAATGCACTACAGGGAGATGGGACAAGATACGGAGGTAACTATGGAGTAAAACCTTGGATCACTACTCTGACATGCTAATTCTGAGATGTTGATCATGAACGTTTGTTAGTTTTCAAAATATCTTGCACATATCTAAGGTAGCCGAGTATTTAACAGTTAACTTAAAGGGGAAAAGTTGTTTTAGTATCAGACCATCAAACTTCTTCAAGTCGAGAGAATACCAGAGACCAACTGGACTGTGCATTTTTGTTCATCTAAAAATTTTTTATACTACCTTTTGTAGTGATGGACAAGACGACAGAGACAGGGATGTCGCCGGAGTATGTTGCATCCAAGGTTCTCAAAGCAGTACAGGAGCAGAAAAATGAACTTATTTTAGCGCCATTCACTGTGACTGTAGCTGTTTTTTTAAGGACATTTTGTCCTTCCTTATACTTCAGTTTAATGAAGAAGAGGGCAGCACATCAAAAACAAGACCAGTGTAAACAAAAGTGATGATTACTTATAAAATATTATGCACATTTGCAAGAGTAGATGATTGTGATATTTTTGTCCATAAACTGTCATCTTAATTTTTAATTCTGGTGTGCTCAGAATATATATGAATCTGAACACAATTTTATTTTAATAAGTTAAAATGCCAATCCTCAAACATCTTCAAACAGAGAATATGCAATCACTTATGAAACAAGGCAGCAAAGCTGTCAAATGTACAGACAAAAAAACAGAAAATTAAGNCATAACTTCCATAAAAATGGCCCAATCATGCTGATTTTTGAAGTTGACCTGTGTATTATGTATATTCATTAGTTCCATAAGTTTCAAGTCAAAAGGTAAAACGGTTTTTCACTTATCGTGTTATCAGTGTTGCATATATGCTGAAAAAGTGAAAAAACAGCATAACTTCCATATAGATGGCCATATCATGCTGATTTTCGAACTTGACCTGCATATTATGAAAGCTCATCAGTTCTGTAAGTTTCAAGCCAAAAGGTAAAACGGTTTTTCACTTATCATGTTATCGGTGGTCAAAGTGCACGGCGACGACAACAGACGCAGGTGATGGCTATATGTACAGACACATCTGTGTCTGTACATAAAAATATGAATAAAATTAATCTCAATTCAAGAGTACATTGATTTTCATTATTTAAATTATTTAACCTGCTGAACACTATCCTGTGGCAGTCATCATTTCAAGATGATGCTAGTCAAGGTGATTGCTCAATTTTCACAATTTAAAAAAATTATACTTGCGTTAAAAACAAAAATAAAAGTGAATGCCACAAAGCTTCAAAACTGTTCAGTTCTAATTTATTAACTAAAATCAAACATTGCAAATGTGTCAAGTGCTAAAGGGCCATTTTTGTGCTGTATCACAGTATTTGAAACACACTCCAGGCTTCACGGTGCTATTGATTACTTAACTCTCAGGCCCCTTGGCCAGACCATCCTTTAGTGCAAAAAAATGTTGCATTAAATCAACAGATTACATACTAACATTGATGAGGATAGTTTATCAAGTATAGATCAATTATCATCCATACCATGAGTCCTCATAACAACACTGCATATACCAAATTGCCATATTGTTTAACTACATTTGTACATATGGACTTCTTAAAGTATTGAACAACTAGGACATTGATGTCATGAAGTATTGTCCCCTCTCCCATCATCAGTGACTGGCATTCTTGCTCATATAAATGACTCTTTGACAAATTTCACACTTCACACATACAGTATGGTTTGAAACCTCTTTAAAATGATAATTACACAGCTATTAAAACTTTAGTCCAGTTAAAACAGTCACTCTGACACTTCATGCAGTGGTCTGGAAGACTTAAACAGCAGTTTGAGAGCAGAGCAAACCATGAAAAGTTTCATGCACCATTTAGGTGGAACAACTCTCAAGTAAACTGGCATTTTGCTAGATCAGTACAGTAGGTAAACTTTGTGAAATGCACAAAGATCCTTACAGTAGGTTAGTCTTCCGTCTCATATTTTTCAAATAGTAAACTGTTAAATATATTCCTTGTTCGGGGTGACAATGACAAGTTAACGTCTTTCTGCACATATCCAATGTTGAGAATGTGTCACAGTAAACCAGAAGTCTATCCAGTTCACATGAATGTCCTCAGAATATTAGTTTTCACTAAAATTTAAAAATGATGTCCTTGCCAAAAGACCACAGAAGATTACAAAACAATTACTAAACAATTAGTTGAATCAAAGATCAATCTCATCCACATAAGAATAAGAAGAATACCACTTGGAAAGTTTCCATAAACAGAACCCTCCAGCTGCCAAGGCAACTATTGTGTGGAGAATTTTTCGTGCAGTATCGTCTTTTCTTTCCAGAGCCACATAGGACGGCGAGGTAAGATCATAAAGAGGGAGTCCCTGTAGTTTTCTGGGGTCAGTGACCACTTGGTATTTACAACACGGGTCATACTGCCATGAAGCCATGTAAAGACCAGCACACATAACACTGACCACTCCCAATGGACACGTCAGGATACTGCCAACCTGAGGCCACAGCTTGCCAACAGCCAAGCAACACACCCCTGACAGGAGCGAGGTTTTGTGCAAACAGTTCCCAACTTTAATCCAGCGTGCAGTCTCATCCCCGAGTTTGGTTGGTTCTATAATGATAAAGCTCACACAGTCCTCCAAGGCACGGTCTAGTTCATTCTCAAAATCTTCTGGTGCACTGTCATTTTCGTAGATCTCACGAATGATCCTGAAGTCATTTGGATTCATCTCCCTGTAATAAAGAAAAATGTACAATCTAATTTTACTTTTTTTTTTTTTCGTTTGCATTTGAAGACATATGCCAATCCCTGAACAGCAGCCTATTATTAAATAAATAAATAAAATAAAATTACTATGTAAGAAACATTTCCAACAGCTTATGCACAGAGCTTTTTAAAGATCGGTCATAATGAATCATCACAATTTCAGTCCCAATATTTTACCTACAAATAAAGAACTGGGAATGGCACTAGGACAAGGGCGCATAATCTGTATTCAACAAAATATATCGCAAGACATGTAAAGGGAGTTTATTGTAGTAGAACAAGTCAGTTAAACAATTCACATATTGAGACCTACTCATTGTTTAACTTAGATACAAGTAGAAAACTTCAAAGATTTAGCACTACATTTCTTTTCGGCTACAGTTTATTGTGTTGAGCAGCTGTGTTAAGCTTTAGTTCCAATTTTGTTCTGAGCAAATAACGACACTGATCGACGTCTGGTTTCAGGTTAAATTCGCTAAAAATCCAATGTAACCTCTTCGATTCGATTTAGATCTGCAAGCTTAGTCCTTACCTTGCAAACTTATATAATATAAAAACACCAACAGACGCACACTTGAAAATAAAATGCTATATTCTGATTACAAAACCAATTAGTGCTAACAAACCATAAAACCATAAAAAGCCCATAGCACCAAAAGAATGAGTTGTCAGAAAAAAAATAAAGATATGCAGTATATTACCCAACTCTTCCAGCCATGTTGCTGTGTTACAACTGTACGTGTAGATGGCACAAAATCAAGAAAGGCCCAAATTCATAACATACCTGTACTGAAAACGTTCTAGCTCCAGTTCTGAAAGAAAAAAATATGAAACTTATATAATCTAAAAAGCTAAATAATGCACAATTAATATTTTTAAATTCAAATTGCAAGTTCAATGATTAAAATCGTTTTAGTTCTCATTCAAATACATTTTAACTTTCTGCATTGTGGTAGCTGGTCTTTGGTACAACTACAGCAACACCTACACTTACAAGAAGAAGAAAAGAATATCTCACAATGTCAATCAAACAAGTTAAACAAATCAGGCCATACCCTCGTCAGTTTTGCAATTATAGTTACTGAAAGCGTCTTTTCCATATTCATTGATGAAATGTCTTTTATCTTCGTCCACAAGTATCTGATAGGCCTCCGTCACTTGTTTGTACTGAATGGTAAGAGAAAATGGATTCATGCTACATATAGTCGAAATAAATAAATATCCACTGGTTATATGCATGGTTTACGGACAGGCCCGTTTTGTAGAGGAGTATACAGAATTATTTTTAAAACTATTCAAAATAAACGTTACAGCTTGTTTCATAATAGTCTAATAACTAAAATAAATCACTGATTCACGTGCCGGTGGATTGAATTGAAGTTATTTTCATTAGAACAATTTTTTTATGGTTTTACAAAATTTAAAGACTCAGAGACTGTGAAATAAGTCAATTGTTAAGTTACTCATGGATACTTTTTAAATCCTGAAGCAACTATTACTATTACGTCAGACGAAGATTTGAACTCCCACCTTGTCGTCCCCGCCACCATTTCGATCTGGATGCAGCTCCTTGGCTTTTCGATAAAAGGCCTTCAACGGAAAAAAATACATGAAATCAAATGAAGGCAAGAGACCATAATCGAGTTAACATAGTTCCATTATTGTACTGTTTGGAAAATAATTTTCTACATGCTCACCCATAAAATGAGTACTCAGTATTATCATTTCAAGTGGATAATGGATGGCAAAGTTAATGAACTTAAAGGTAGAGTCAATACATAACATATTCGGGATTTTCCAGCTGAATCGACCCCCCTCCCCCCCCCCCCCCCCCAAAAAAAAAAAAAAAAAAAAAAAAAATTATGAGGCCATTTATATACTGACCGGAGTATTTTCGCTCGTTTCCTTTTCTCTCTTATTTGAAAGACCAAAAATACCTGGTACGTTTGCCGTTTCGTTTTGGAAAGCAGCATACATTGGAGTGGGGAGGTACGGGTGGGCTGTAACGGTTTTTACGTCATTTTTAAAGACCTGTAGCTCAGTAGGTAAGAGCACTCGCCCTGTAAGCGAGGGGTCCCGGGTTCGATTCCTGGTCTGGCAGGTGGTTTTTCTGCACTCACCCCAAATCGTTACAGACTGGAGAGGGGGATTGACTTTATTCGGGTACACAGATTTGAATTGTGGATGACGGTTTGTATAAGAATTAAAGTCGTCTTGCGTCTGTGGAAAAATTTTACACAAACGCTAAATCTGAGAAAGTTCGAAGGCAGGCAGTGCACTTCATTACGGGTAATTATGCTGACAAAGAAATAGTGTGTTTCTCAGATATGCTACAGTACCTAGGGTAACTCCACTATGGGACAGACACAAAGCTCGCAAACTTATATTCTTTTACAAAATGATTGAGGATTTCATGCCATTCTAGCTTTTCTTACTGTGAATTGAATACTTAACAGGAAGCGAAACTTGCCTGTTTGATCTCTCCTTTTGATGCACTTTTATTGATTCCTAACAGACGAAATAAATCTTCGTTCGAACCATCAGCCATGATCGACAACGCAACTTTTACGCGCGAAGCAGACGAACGGAAGTTGTGGGCGGGCGTTGCTTAATTATAGATGGCGCTGACTGGTCTATGGTGGAAATAATTTTTCCCAAATTCATATTTAAAAAATCAGAGGGTCTTAATAATCAGTATTTGTAGATAGTGTTTCGGAAAATTCTAATCAACCCAGCTAACAAAAGAATGCCTTTATATTAGAACATTGAGGGAACATTAGGTTTATGATACCAAAGTCTAAGACTGCCTAGATCGGTCTAACTCCCTGCATGGGGAGTCTAACTAAAGATAATTACCCCCTAACAGCTTTACTGGGCGTGACAGGTATTTAAGCCGGATAAGTTGATAGCAATTAAGTGAGACTCCCCAG